AGTCCACAGTGGTCGAGAACTGTGTTTATAAGGGAAATTGGCTCAACATTTGGAAATTATTGAGTCCACTGAATAACTTGTGATCAGGGTTTAAAGAATATTTCTAACTACAAACGTAACACGAATCCCCCGTGCTCCCTGTGTGGCAGCCAAGCTCCCAGCAGCCGCTGCTATTGCACGGGCTGCCCAAAAACGTGGCAGAAAACGGTCATCTTCATCCCATCGAGATGCAAGAGGTGTGAAAAATAAACAGGTGTGCTGGAGCAACCCCCCTGTCGCTAAAAATGCTACTGAATCACCCCAAAGGGAAAATTAATTTACTTCTAGGAAAGCTGCCTGCTGTTCCTGGATTTGCATTTAGAAACCAGTGTGGTTTACAACTGCAAGGATGAATGATGAAACTCCGAGCTTTCTTTCTTTAATTTTATTTTTTATTTTTGTCGAACGCTGGTCAGCAGCGGCTCGCCTGTTCTGAATGCGAATGCTGGGCTCTCAAAGAGAGCATTCATGTGGGAGGCAGAAAAGCAGCGCAGGGCGGGCAGCACGTCCCGCGCCTGGCTGCCCTTCCAGCGCAGGCAAATCATGCGACTCCAAAATGCCAAACGACATTTTTAACCTTCTTTTAAACTTTTTCTGATTGTTTCTATGGATTTTTCCAGCAACTCTCTCCATGTGGCATTATGCTTTCGGATCATGAGGTGGGCGATCGTTTGGAGCCTGTTAAAGAGGGTGGTTTTCCCCATTTTGGAGCGGTGGTTAAGCCCCGTTTCCGACGCCAGCCGTGCAGCGGGTCCCCTTTCCTGACCCAGCTTGGCATAACAGAGAGCAAAGGCGTAACACCAATATGAACCCAGCAACAAGACGCTATTTCCAAGGTCCAGAAAACACTGCTGCTGCCCTGAGCTCATCCCCCAGCAATATAAAATATTGTTCTTCAGGCTGGTGTAAACCCGACCAAGCAAAACAGGAAAGAATGTACTGTAATGCACCATTATAGACTGATAAAATTGTAAATATATGAAAATTCAAGCTTCTTCCTACGTATGCATTTTTTGGGGCCGTCAGTATTGTTTTACATCTCCAACTATGCTGTTGACTTTTGGGTAAGTCTGCAATATGGTTGCGTTATGCTGCAGGTTAAATCTGCAGCTCTGAATTTGCAGGCTCTGACAGTGAAATCAGAGTGTTGCTTTTTAATGTACCTTTTTAATCTTCACTGCCCTTGGTTCAGACGGGGGTATGCTGGGCAGGCTGGAGAGCAGCCGCTTAGAGTCAAGTGCAGAACTGGTTTCCAGAGCCTGGCCGGGTGCCTGGCCCTGGGCATGAATCTCTTTGCAGATATTACGACTTTCATGGGATATTTTTAAGGTCGTCTGTGACAAATCAATAGCATCCATTTTTCTCCCTTTGGTTTTTGAGATGCAAAAATAAATTTGCAGTTGTTTTATTGGCTTTATTAGCTAGGAAAGTGCTATTAGCAGTGCAGGTGTGCGGGATGGACACGCAGAGTCCCCTCCGCTTTGCTGTGATATCAGCAGTGAATGCAAACACTTCCCATGTCCAGTCTTGCCAAATCCACCCTGGCTTTGATAGACCAGCTCCAAAGGTTCAAGATCCAAGCCTGCTGCTCCGGAGGGAACGCAGGCTGCCGAGGCCGTGCCAGGGCTTTGCATCTCTGGTGATGCTCCTGTGTCTTCCTGCTGTCTCCTTGGCTCATCCCAGCCCTTAACGCGCTCTGCTGAAGGATCTCTCCTGCAGGGATCCTCTGCCCCCATCATTTTGGAAGTTATTCTGGTATTTCCCCACCAGTCTGAGGAAATCCTGCACGGCGGGTTTCCATTTTTACCAACAAGTCAGAGTACTGATGGGAGTGGGAAGAAGGACTATGTGGAGAAGCCGGCCTCATTACTCAATGAGGACATTTAATACTCAGGAGCTGTTTACTGGCTAAGACATCAAATAGAAGTAAAAATCCCTGTGTCCTTCATAGAATCATAGAATCAGAGAATGGTTAAGGTTGGAAGGGATCTCCAGAGGTCACCTAGTCCAACCCCCCTGCACACACAGGGTCACCCAGAGCACGTGSCACAGGCTGCATCCAAGCGGGTTTTGGAGATCTCCAGAGAAGGAGACTCCACAATCTCTCCAGGCAGCCTGTGCCAGGGCTCTGGCACCCCCATGTCCTTATCCATGCCCTTATCTGACAGCAGGAATCCTCCACCCTGAGAAGCACACAGCCCTCCCACAGCAGGGGCTTGGAAACAGGTTGAAAACCGGCATCCACGGAGCTCCGAGGGCGGCTGCGGGAGCAGCGCCGGCTGCAGCCCGCGTGGTTTTCGGGAGCGGAGCCCGTCGGAGCAGCGACACGGGGGCTGCGGCCGCTGCATCTCCGAGCGGCTGCTCCCCTTGCTCCACAGCCAGGAGAACAGGCTCCGGCTTCTCCGCTGGCTTCCAAGGAGGCTCTCGCACCCCTGGAGCGGACGTGTCTGCAGCGAGGGGCCCGGCGCCCTGCAAGCTCGGGCACGCGGCCGCCCAGCCCCGCAGGGGGTTGCTCAGCTTCTCCTTGTGGAAAGRAGCGAGTGGAAATAACAGAAAAAGGGAATGCGCCCAAGGTAATGATACTTGGAAACGGCAGGTCACGTTTCAGCCAGGAAGGAGGAGGGTAGCGGGAGCAGGTGAGTTTGAAGTCTGTGGGAACCTGGAGGAGGCAAAGGGGAGGGATGAAAACTATGGAGTGTGCAGGATAGCACTGGAGGCAGGAGGAGAGCCGGGGGGYCTGGGGGCTGCTGGCACCGCTGGGGACCCCTTGGGTGCCCTCACCCCTTGCTCCCCATGGCAGCTCCCTCCGCAGACCTCCAAGGAATCCCCACTCGCATGTCTAAGCGCCTCATGATTGAAAGAGACGCCGGCCCTTTCATGTTGCAGACGTGCCCAGACGCGCCTGGTCCAGCCCCGTGGCCACCTCCTGCCCGGGGACACTGGCCATCCCGCCAGTCCTGCCAAAAACCTGCCCTAGGAAGCAAGGAAACCTGGAGCGCCGTTTTCCATGAGGAGTCATCCCAATGGAGCCACCTGCCTGCGCGATACCTGGCAAGGTATCGGCTCAAGACCTTTGGGTTTCTTCCTTCCCTCATTAAGAACAACTGATGGCAATGGTGCTAATTGCCTTCTTCTCCGCGCTGCCTTTGGCGGGAGGAAATAGCACAGATATTTAGTCTGCAGATAAGAAACACTGGACAAGTTGCAAGCTACTAGGCCTGAGTGAGTCCGCGGCAGAGGCAGGCTCAGAAACCAGCGCTTTTGAGTCACGGCTCAAGCTAGATTGCAACGCAGATCCCAGTCCCAGTGCTGATCCCACATCAAAGCCCTGTGCGGAGTTGGGAAAGCATTATATTATTGCATGCGGTGCAATTCCTTTTTTTTTTTTTAATGAAAATCTGCTAATATCCTTATGACAACGAGCAGGCTCTCATTAAAATGATCTTTTTATTGCTATAGGCTTTAGCGCTGCGGAGGACGGTCCAGCAAGGCGTGCGCTTGCACGCGGCGCCGGCTCCTGCTCTGGCTTTGCTGGTGCCTGGGCTCGCTGAGCGCCAGCGCGGATGTATCCTCAGCCCTGCCCTCACTGCAGGTTTTTGGCTACCCATTGCTGCCTTCGCTAGCACTTTCTGGGAAAATAAAGGAGCCTCCATCGTGTGATATCTCCGTGCGGTTCCCGTTTCCSTCCCAAGCGGCTCCCAAGGCCGTTGGCTGGGCGCGCGCGCCTCTGGGAGCGGTTTGGAGGAAGGCCAGCGTTTGGGGGCAGGTGCGGAGGTGATTCATCCTCCTCCKCCGCCGCCAAAGGGCTGGCAAGTGCAGCAAAACAAAACCACCTCGGCACCTACTTCCCACGGGCAAAACACTCGTTATCAGCCCGCGGCACCCGGAGCAGCGGGTGGCCCGGGCTGCTTTCTGAGCAGCCGTCCCGTCCCTAGGGCTTTCRGTGCCCATGGGGATCAGCAAGGAGCGGGCCGTGGAAGCGGCAGCGGACTCCTGGCTTGGTGTTGTGTGTGACGCCGTGGCCACACGTCCCGGGACGGAGCTGGAGCTCTCGGGCAGATGTAGTCGCCCGTCCCCTCGTTGGCCATGAGATGCTCCCCGTTCCTTGGGGCTGACCTGGCGCCGTCCCTTGAGTCACCACCAGTCACCTGCCCCGGCGCCGAGCCGTGGCCGTTAGCCGGGGGCTCCGCTCATCCGGCTGCCGGGGCGCCCGTCACCGGGACRGCGGCTCTGACTCAGGGCACGGCTCCCTCTGCCGCGGATGCGCCCGGGGAATCACCCGCACGGGACCCAGGCGCCCACGTAGGGTGCTCCCGGCCCGTGGCCCAGGTTTATCCCCAAATCCTGACTGCTCTCAAGCAGGGCCTGCCCACCACTGCCCTCTCCGGTCCCGTGCCGCCTGTGCTGCTCCTTCTCCGCCTGCTCCGGGAAGCCTTCCCGGTGGGATAGAAACCGCGGGAGGCCCGGAGATGGGCCGACGAGTGCGTGGCGGGGACACTCGCCCCCCTCCTCCCTCCTCCTCCTCCTCCTTCTCCTCCTCCTCCTCCTCCTCCTCGTCGCCGCACGCGCGTGTGCAAAACGGGTCACGTTTCCCTGGGACTGACCCCAGCGCGGGGGCCGTGCCGTGCGCAGCCGGGGCTGTCCGGGGGGGTCCCATGGGTGCTCAGCCCCCTGCCCCCAGCACAGCCCTCATGGGACCACTCGTGTCATCRGTGTGATGAGAGCCGGCCGTTCTCTGCGCCCGCACGCTGTGCATTACCCCWGCACACGCACCCCCGGGGGGGTACCCCCTGCGTGGGGTGCGGGGAAGGGGAATGGGTCCGGGCCGGGCGCAAGGGGGATGAATCAGCAGCGCCCGGGGCAGGAGCCGCGCTGGGCCGTGCGCAGGGCCGCGAGGGGCGGAGGGTTTTGCACTCGCTCTCTCCCAGGCGGCGATAAATAGGAGGCGGCCGCGCGTGCCGCCCAAAGCGCCTGCCCGCTCGCCCTGTCCCTGCGCCTCCGCCGCCTCCAGCTCCCATGGACTCCCAGGACTGCCCCTGCGCCAGTGGTGAGTCCGTACTGCCCGCGGGGCCGGGATGCTGGGGGGGATGCCGGGATGCTGGGGGGGATACTGGGATGCTGGGGGGGATACTGGGATGCTGCCGGGGATACTGGGATGCTGCCGGGGGGGCTGCGTGGGCCACAAGCAGCCTGCAGAGCTGGTGCCGGGGTGCCGCGTGCCGCGGTGCCAGCCCCGCGTGCCCGGAGCTCTCCTCAGCGCCGCTTCCCCTTCCAGGCGGCACCTGCACCTGCGGGGACAACTGCAAGTGTAAGAACTGCAAGTGCACGGCGTGTAAAAAAGGTAAGCAGGGGCCCGGGGTGGCCGCCACGTGCTGCGCGTGGGCACCGTGCCCCGCAGCGCGCGCCCTTTCCAGCCCCGCGGGCTCCCGTGTCCCTTTCCCAGGGACTGGTTTGCTCCTCCCGTGCTCCCAAACCGGGAAGCACTTCCCTGTGCACCAACGCACCGAGCGTAGCCTTGATGGTCCCTGCTGTGACCCGAGGCTTGGTGCCAGGTGCCATTCCGGCACGGAGCGCAGCTCCTGTCCGCCCGCGCCGTTCCTGTGCTTTGGAGCGGCTCCCGGAGCAAGCTTCGTGAAGCAGAACTGGCCAAAAGGCTTGGGAAGGCAGCTTGGCCCCTTCCCGCCCCTCCCAGCCAGCCCAGGGCGGACCTGCATGGCCAAGACCCCTCGGGAGAGGAGCTGGAAGCGGGGAAGGTGCTGGGATGGCTCCGGGCAGGACGCTCCGTTCCCCTGAGAACAGAGCACAAGGACTGGCGGGGACGAGAGGAAGAACAGGGTGTCCAAGGGGGCTCTCGACGCTCCCTGACGTGCTCTGCTCCCCGCTCCAGGCTGCTGCTCCTGCTGCCCGGCTGGATGTGCCAAGTGCGCCCAAGGCTGCGTGTGCAAAGGGCCGCCCGCCGCCAAGTGCAGCTGCTGCAAGTAGGGCGCACGGGGAGCGCCCGCCCGCACGGCCACCACTAACTTTATTGCCCGCGCTTTATTTTTGTATGTGCTCACATATCCTTAATATTTGTCCTGTGCGACACGTGATAAGCTTCCTAAATAAAGATCCATGTATATAAGTACCAATAAGCAGCTGGTTGCTGGGGACTCCTTGCCTCACAGGGCGCTCGTGCCCCTGGAGAGTTGGGATCATGGGGTGCTCCTGGCACAGGGCCAGCTCCTCGCCAGCCCCTCGGCTCGGGCAGCCTTTCCAAAGGCAGCTTTCCACGGCCGGGCTCCCTCAGTGCGGGAGGACTCTGATGCCGCCTGGGGATTCCCTCTTCCCTGACGGCCTTGKCACGAGAGGTTGGATGGAGGAACCCGCGTGAGCAGAGGTGGATGTCCTGAGGTCCTGGACGGCTCCTGTGCCAGTCGCTCCCAGGTTTCCTGGGACGCAGGGACGTGGCTGCACCGTGGGGCACGGCACATCCCTCCAGGGAACTTTCCCATTGCAGAAGCGAGATCTTTGTTTGGGAGAAACTCTCGGACTGGGAAGCAGGTGCTGCCCCGTCCCACGGCCAAGAACCGTCCCCACCGGTCCCTTCCCAGCTCCTGTCCCCCCGATGTCTCCCGCGCTGGCTCCTGCTGGGACTGCCGCTGTCAGGGCTGCCCTGGGAGCCAGCGCAGGGGGGTGACAGTCCCTGTCCCACGGGGACCCACGAGGGCCCTCCCTGCCCTATGGGGGGCCTCCCTCATGCCCCAGGGACACCCCCATTCCCCTGCCCCACAGAGGATGTCCCTGTGCTACGAGGACCCCCCACACACTCCACAGACCCCCTGTCTCCTGGGGACTCCCCCATTTCCCTGCCCCACAGAAGACGCTCCTGGTTCAAGGCGACCCCTCTACTCCACGGGGAAACCCCATCCCTTAGGGAATCCCCTCATCCCCCCGACCCACAGAGGGTGCCCTGCCCTGCTGGACCCCCAGAGRATCCGGCCGCGCCCCAGGGCTCCCCGTGTCGCGTGGGGTCCCCCCTCCCTGTTCCCGACGGGGGCCGCCCGGGAAGCGCGGCGGAGGAGCGGGACAGGGCACGGCCGCTCCCTGCTCCCCGCCGGGCCGCGCTCCGCTCCGCTCCGCTCCGCTCCGGGGGGCGGCAGCCGCAGCCCCGCGAGCCGAGCCCGGCGCCACTCGTGACACCCGCGGCGGGAGGCGGCGGCGCCTCTGCACACGGCGGCCGCGGGGCCGTGCGCAGCGGGCGCGGGGCTGCGCGCAGCGGGCGCGGGGCCGTGCGCAGCGCAGCGAGCCGGGCGGCACCTCTGCTGCGGGCGCAGGGCGCCGCGCGCGTGGCGGGGACCCGCGGCGGGCCCGCGTGGCCCCGCGCAACGGTCGGGAGTCCCGCTGTCCGCGGGAGCCGCTGTCCGCGGGAGCCGCTCTCTCGAACGCCGCTGCCGCCCCCTGCCTGCCTGCCGCGGCCTGGCGGCGGAGGGCGGCCTCGAACTCGCGGCGCTCGTGCGCCCCGCCCCGCTGTCCGTGTCCGCCCGCGTAGCGCCGCATAAAGTTGTTCCCGCGGAAGGGGGCGGGAGGCGGCGCGCGGCACGCCGGGAAGAGCCGCGGCTCGCCCAATGGGAGCGCGCGGCGCGGGGGCGGCAGCGGCGGCCGGAGCGGCGGGCGGGTGAGTGAGTGCGGCGGGGCCGGGCCGGGCTCCGGCCGCCTCCCTCGGTGCCGGCGGCGGCCCCGGCGCCGCTCGCGCTCCGCGGCCCGGGGCTGGGCGGCCCCGCAGCCGGGTGGTGCCGCCGCCAGCTCCGCGCGGGCCGAGCCCGCTGCGCCCCCCGACGCGGCGAGCCCCGGGCCCGGGCCGCAGGAGGGGCCGCTTCCCTCCTCCGCGGAGCCTCCTGGGGCGGCCCGCGTGGGGAGGGACCGCGCGGCGGGGGATGCGCCTCCCTCGGGAGGGCTTTGGAGGGCCYCTTTGGAAGGGGCTGCACGCGGGAGGTGCCGAGAAACGACCGCAAGGGAACGCGGCTCTGTGGTCTGGTCCCTGGTGCTCCCGCAGGGTGATACTGCAGGAAACTCGGAGGGAAGGRGAGCGCTTGGGGTTTCATGTAAGGAATTTTGGAAATAAAACGGTGTTTGATGCAAAGAGGGGTCCTTTTGCCATGCAGAACAAGCAAGCAGCSTGCTGAGGTGTTTGGTAGGCTGAGGGCCTGAGGCTTGGAAAAGAGGCCGGATGAGGAGRCAAGAAAACTGCCAGGTGTCAGATATTTAGGATAGTGTTGATTTGAGACTCCCAATCTCAAATCAAGGGGGAACTTCAAAGGCCTGTGGCAGGTGCAAGTGAGTATTGAGGAATGCATGGAAATGGGAATAAATCATTCAAAGTGCTCATTGCTTGGTTCCACACCCCATAACTTACAGGATGGAGAAGAGGGACAAGGCCAACTGGCTGTGAATGTCGCTGCCTTTAAAACTTTGGGTTCATTTCCGTGCTGTCCTATCCTAATTTCCTTGCTAGATGTGCATCTGTTTCGCGGTGGGATGTGTGATTTGTCGAAGATGCACCAGAGATATTTGAAAATGAGGCTGGAAGAGACCGCAGGGTTTGAAAGGGGTCACTGGGGCCTGCGCTGTTTCCATTGGACTCTTGTCCTGTTCTTACATAGGCCCRGTGACACAGGGTCTGTGACTTGTATCCTTACGGAATTACAGAATGGTTGAGGTTGGAAGGCACCTCTAGAGATCATCTAGTCCAGGGACTGAAAGGAAAAAGTTGAAATGGATGGAAAGAAAAATATAGCTTAGATAGTAATCCTTACGGAAGTAGGACATGCAAAGCATAAAAACACACCGACAGACCAAAACACCCCAAGCTTATGTTTATAACATTGCTAGTAATGGCCTGCAGTGTTTGAGGTACTTCTCTCGTCAAGAGACGTTTGGAGTACAATAATTGCAGCGTTTGTCACTAAACAGCATTGTAATGCTCTTCAAGACTTCCCCCCCCTCCTCAATCATTTACAATTAGCCTGAATGGACTTTAAAAACCTGACACCATCTTGTGTGATTCTTTTTTGGCTTAAATATGGTCAGTTTGCACAATATGTAGCACCCACTTCTTTGAATGTTGGATAAACACTGACCTGGTGCTTAATTGGACACGGAGTGGCAGCCTAATGCGGCAGCTCCTATTGATAAGTCATCCAAGTTTCACAGAAAAACCTTTCTAGTCCTGGCTTTCAGCCCAGGCTAGATCTGTTGTTCAAGTTAGCTTAATTTCTTCTGCGTTATTTCTTTTTTTCCTGAGGTGTCAGTTGTTGCTCTTTCCCCAGCCACCTGTGAAAACTGGCATCGTTCTGCTTGCTACTGTGAAAGCAGTTTCCATCTTGAAGAGCAGCATTACGAGTTAGGCTGCAGTCTCTGGAATGCAGCAAACTCTGGTGCACAAACCAAGTCACTTGGGGTGTTAATCTGAATATTTGAGTCTTGTCGTTCAGAAAAATATATAGTGTTTGCTCTCTAGATCAGTGGAGAGCTGTCCCTCACAGTGCTTGAGAATAATCACAGGTTGTTGGTCAAAAAACCCAAACAAGCTGGTTTATTCCATATTTGTTGGGTTCATTCTGTTTTCCAGAGGTCTTGCAGCTATTCTGCATCAGCAGATTTGTGGGGTAGACCTTATATAGAGTCAACACTGAGTCTATGGCTAAAAAGTGCAGGTTTGGGAGCTGTTTTGTAGATAGTGCCTTGTAATGCTCCAGACTTTTTAATCTCCTCCTTAATGAAAAGAGGAAGTGAACTGGATGGAATTGGATCCAGCTGAAGGCCATAGTCATCATCCCATGCTCCATATGCAGCTCGGTGAGGATCCAGCAGTGCAGTCACAGCTGCAGGGAAGGGTGGCTTTTCTGGCCAGCATCTGCYAGCAGAGGCTGCTTTTGTCAGGGATGCACCTGACTTACCCCGAGTAAACACTGGAAAGACGTTGTGCTGCGTTGCAGGGCGTGAGGCTGTGTTCCCACCCTCTTCCATCTTACTGGGTGCTGATTTCCTCAAACCCAGCCTCAAACTATTGCATCTGATTAACGAGTCACTGAAACTGTGATTATTGCCTCTCTCTAAAGCTCCTGGGGTTCCAGAAGCCGCTGGAGGGAACTTGGAAAGTTCTGTGTGTCCGGAGAGGTTTGTTCTGGCACCCTGGCAGAGCAGCCCTGCGCGTGAGTTGTTCTTTCTACCTGATTGTGTCCAAACAAGTTGTGCTCGGGAGTTGGTGCTTTTGTCTCGGTCCTTACACAGATAAGCCAAGGATGCCCTCGCCACCGGTAGCTGCGCTTAGCAGTGTGCTGGAGCATGAGGCACATAAAGTAGTTGCATTAGGTCGCTTTAGTATGGTTGAGGGATACCAAGAAATGCTGAAATTGCAGCATATTTTTAGTTTGCAGGCTTGATATGCTCTCTTGCTTTGTTCAAATAATCAGGCTGTTTTCTATTGATTGTATTGTTGAATAAATGATAAAGGGCTTGGGTTAATGCCCAGGATCTGAGTGGTCTTATTTAATCCCAAGCGCTTCACGGGGAGGGTGAAACGGATGCATGTGAGTGAGGTTGCACCCAAGGCCCTGTGTTGGTAGCGCTGTGCACTGAGGCTGGCTTAGCCTGACTTAGGCTGACTTAGCGTGATCACCTCCCCTTGGGTTTGGAGAATGCAGCTTTCATAAGGGCAGTGTTTAGTTACTCCAGGTGTTCGAGGTGATTGTTGGAAGAGCTTGGACAGTATTCCAGTTCGGTAATTTCTCTGCTCTGCTCTGAATGCCCCCAAATAATTTTCAAGGATGGACACTGCTTAGATGCCTTTGAGAAGGCAATAAATGAAACAAATTGCTATCATTATTCATGTTACCCTGAAAGGGTGAAGGGGTTTGAGTGCTCCAGTTTTTCTTGGCAGTGAGGCTGTTTTAGAATATAAAAGTTAATTAGTAAGTTCCCACAACGCTGTTTTGATGCTCAAGCTCCATCTGTGGGACAGTTCCATGTGTGCACACTACCTAGGCTGAGGCGTATAGGGAAAGAATGCCCACAACCTAAAAAGGTCTTTTTAAATTATAATGCCCTGTAAAGGGTCACTTTTGTGCATAGTTGGTTTCCCTTGTATTCCCAT